TTTCCCCAAACTTTTAACCCCAAATCTCAGTTTCTGTAACTAAAATCCCTACTCCAACATGCTGTCTAAGTGCCAAGTGCTTCATGGCATCAAGCTAATTCTTTTCCAACTACATCCACATCATTCCATCAAAACTGAGTCAAACCACGACTTTGAAAGCTTTTACTTGTTTCTCTCTTTTGCCTTTTTTTGCCTTTTTGACAAGCTTGTGTCCATCTTTTTCTCTTCTTTCTTTCATTCTCTCTTTCTTTGCAGAGGAGGGACAAAGATATTTTATAAAAAAATAATGCAAAGAGAAAAATTATCTAACATCCAACCTCTGAAATACAAAGAGATACATCGAAAAGCATTGTTGTACTGTCCAGAAAGAGTCTTTCTAAACTATTATATCTGTATCAAGGTCCTCACTCCCAGAGATGGAAGCACAGAGCCTGGAAAAACAGCCAGTGAGGCTTTCTGCTTCAAGATGAACAGAAGACATGGCCCTGGAAATATCCATTCTCTCTCTTTTTTTTAAAAAAAAAGGAGAAAAAATCCAGGCAGCAGGAGAGCAAGACTGTTAACCATGTGGGTCCTAGTTCCTGCATTACAGGGTTTGGCCCAGGGGAAGAGGTTCAGAATCAGTTAACACTGGGGACAGCAGATCGTGCCTATTGTCTAGTCCCATCTGAGATATCTGCAGAAAATACATCACCAGTGTGTGGACACACAATTAAGAAACTCAGTGTGGAGAGAACTCCAATTCAGCTTCCAAAGCAACCTTTACTTCCCTTGGAGTATCAGGGAGGAATCAACATCCAACAGACCACCCACTGACCTCACATTAGCAATAACATTACTTCAGAGACTGAGGTAGACCTGCACAAGTGGATTAATTAGAGAAAATGGTGGAGACCCCAGGGCTTATGGCCACTGAAAGTCAAAATTGAGCCAAGCCAGCCAAAGGGTACTAACAGGTTCTGAGCAATTCAGATCGAAGTGCCAGCTACCCTTCAATTTGCTCTGCGAGCAAGGCAAACAGCAGCTGGAAAAATACAAACATCACATAATTCTAGAGAATGTGGTCCCAAAGTCTTCAGGCCTCCTTATCAAGATGTATGGGTAGTATTTAAAGTAGAAACAAAAGAGCACAGAGAAGTTTTATTTCCTAGAGAGTCAAAGCATTCCTTAAAGTGGTTTTAAATTATCAGATGCAACTAACTTCAAACAGTTTGAAAATATGATTTTCCCCAATATGAGTTTCCCAGAAAAATATCAAGAAATTTCCAGAGAAAGACATGACTTCCTTAAAGGGTCCAGGATGTGGTGGCAAATTTCCTACATTCATCCCTTTCACTCATTAAAACCGTATCTACAGTGAAGGCTGTGTTCAAATGACAAATCCCCCAGAATAGTAGAACAGGAGAAAAGACCAAAGCAACTTAATGTAGACGCTAGAAAGAGATGAGTAACTGGATACCTGAGAGAACCAAATCTCACATGGGCAGTGGACAAACCTGAGGAGACTTAACACCACAGAGTCTTCAAAGTTCTCAGGAAGGGGTGGTGCCAGTGTCTCTGGAACTGAAGGTGAGGGGCCTATCTGAGATAACTAAGGGATGAATGGTACTTTCTAGAGAGTTTGGAATCCCCAAACTCCTTTATCTTCTCCACACGTCTTTCCCCACCCTGACGTAAAATGCGTTCTTTGGAAAGGTAGCAGAGATTTCTGGCTCTCAAGGAACAGCAGGTACAGCTACAGGTGCAACAGGCTGACCCAGAAAAGCAGAACGAGCCCTGAGAGAACGCTGAAGGCATCAGACTGTTGCCGACTTCTGCTTCCATGACGCTGCCGCCAGTCATATTGCTCCTCTCCGGGAAGGGAGCAAGAATCTAACCAAGCAGGCCAATGTGAAGGCCGGATGCCAGGTTTAGAGATGGCTTTCCTCAGACCCTGTTTTTCGTTCTGTTTTGTTTTTGGAGACAGTGTATCACATTGAGCCCACACTGACATGGAATTCATTATGTAGTCCAGACTGGTCTCAAACTCCCTCTGAGCCTTCTATTTCGGCTAGGATTTACAGACATGAGCTACCATGCCCAGTTCAGAGCCAGCCTTTTAACTTGAGCGTGGAGTCTGTTGCTGAGCCAGCTTCAGCCCTTAGCTGTTCTTGGCTTATTCTAACCATGTGCTGAGCACTGTTTGTATGCCCCAAGCAGAGCTGTTTGTGTGGCTTCCCCTGCCCTCTCCAGGTTAGACCAGCTGAGAGGTCCTTCGGACTGCAGAATCTCTCTCTCTGCCTGACTCCTAAAAGCTTTGAGAAGATGACAAGAGGAAAGGGAAAACACAAAATACTCAATCTCACTGGTCAGCCGCTACCAGCCTGCTCCACGTGGGAGCCCTGCCAGGTAGGCCAACTGTGGTGACTCTTGTTTCTCAGCTGAGATCTCTATTACCCACTAACTTCTCTCAGGGGGACTCACAAACTTTTGGGAAAATTAAATCTAGACTGTAGCCTAGAGACCATTAGGTTTACCAGCTCCCGTGAGAGCTGTGTACCAGACATTGAGTGTTTCCTACACACTGCCGTGTCTAAGCTCACCACTCAGATTCCAACAGCAAAGATACACACTGTTTAGGGATTCACACACACAGGCTGAGTGACAAAACTGAGTGGTAAAAAACGATCAGGACTTTCCCGCCACTCTGGTACATGGAGCTGTAAACAGCACTGAAGGCTTAGGTGATGATCTGGGAAAGAAAGAATGGGGACAACACCTGCCTGGGTGTCTAAATCTGCATATTATAAGGAAGGCAGAGGTCTATGTGTCACAGGAACCCAGCTCTGCCGTCTAAGGACTCACGGGGCACTGATCCTGCTTTCTGAGAGAATGGGAATTTTTTTGTAAGTACGTAGGAAACATCCCTTGAAAACCCCCAAGCAGAATTAGCTGATGAGGGTGGTAGAGATAACCATAAGGAGTTGGGCTCAGACCAAAAAGCCTAAAAGCAGTCACCATAATCTATTTCAGAATATCAGAGTGCTTTGACCTTAATTGGAAAAATAAGTATTGTTATGGGCACATGTGTTTCTTCAACCAATGACATTTACTTATCAAGCATCTATTCTGTGCCAGATCATTCACTGGCATTTAGGATGCAACATTTAAGATATTTTTAAAGTCCTTGCCTTTGTGGAATTTATAATCCAAAGGGGTCAGGGAAATAAACAAAACAAAGACATACACAAACAGTAAATAGACACAAAAGGTAAGCCCTGTGGAGGAGCGGAGTCGGGGACTGGGAGTTGGGAGGGTGCAGTTTTCAATTTTATATAGTGTCATTAGAGAAGAGGAGTTGAGCAAAGCCTGGAGGCAGACATGAAAACTTGTGCACACTCCCTCCTGAGTAGGCACCAAGTGGGACTGAGGCTGTCAGTCTTAGGCATGTAACTCTGCCTCTCAGATCCGTCTCGGGCACCGGGAAGATGAAGGCAATGGAAACAGACATGCTCTACTCCCCATCGTTGGCTTTTGCGCATGCTATGCTCAGCAGGCCTACCCATCCCAGACTTAGAAATGAGTTCCAAAGCCTAGACAAACTTCTGAGCACAATACAAGAAGTCAGCAGAACCTCTTTCCGGGCTTTTTACTTTTCAAATCATGGATCAATTCTTCTTTTTCCTAGACAGTTTGTCCCAAAATGTGTTCCTCAGCACCCTAGACCCAAGATATTCCACACAACAAAAGGAAAGCTGGTGTTTGCAGGCATGTGAGAGGACTTAGCCTGCAGCACTGCACACACAGTGTTGGCACACGCAAATACACAATAGAGCGTAAGTGTGTTAAATGACTAGCAGAAGAAAAGGAAAAAAGAGAGAGAAACAACAAAAATAACCCTGCAAACGCCCTTGCTCCAGGTAGTTGTAAACTCACAACTGCAGACCAAGAGGGCATTTGCTGTCTGACATTGTGGGCCCTAGGGAACCAGCGTCTGTGATGAGGAATGCCACCACACAGAGAAAGAAAATGGACAGCTCATCCAAGCTTCCTCCCAATCTAACCCAAACACACAGCTAACATAGAAGATCAAATAAAATGCAGATAGAAAATGTTCTCATGCATGAAAATGCGTGGAAAAAGACACGGAGACCTTGGGACACATAAAAACAAAACTGAGAAGTTGTGCCCTGTGCCTTGGTGTCACCGGGTAAGGGACAGAAACTGAAAGCAACAAGTCTTTATGGTTGATGCATTCTTCTGGGACCCAAAGGCCTTGCAAGATTCTCAAACATTTAAAATAAGAGGTTTCTCACCATGAAGCTGGGGCAAAACAAGTCTGGCGGGCTGTTTAAGGCATCAAGCAGGTTGAGGGACTCACATTAAGGCAGAAATACTGAAAAAAAAGACAAAAGGAAGCCACTCCCACCCCACCCCTACTCGGTCCTGGAGTCTGTGAAGTCTTTACTTTCTGCTTGAGTGGCAGCAAAGATATAGCCAGCTCCAATACATTGAAAAATGGGGGAAGTTGACACTAGATGACATTCTCCACTCAAGAAATGAGTAATAATGTCAAGGGGGGCACAGTCTGCTACCCCTCCAGATTTTAGCGTGACACTTCCCCCATAGAAACTGTGAGCCAGCAACAAGTACCAAATGCCACTGAAAACAAATCTGTTACAGTCAGGCCACACTGCTCAGCTGAAGTTCAGGAGGGGGGTGGCCAGCTGAGAGCACAAAAGTCACAGCACATCCGTGCCCTCAGTCACCAAACCTGAGTGTCCCCGTGGGCCATGCTCTAACCCGAGTTTCTTTGCAAAATACTTCACCTTATTTAAGAACACCCACACAGCTAAACCAGCTCAGTTTAACACTGAAAGCCCTGGGAACCAAAGGGAGCAAGGCAGAGGAGGGGAACACTATAGAGCCATGAACACATATGGACTCTGCTCTCTCCTAATTAACTAGGAAACACACGGAATTTTGCAGTAGATGCTACAATTCAATGAAGTATGTCTTACCTGAGTGCATCCCAACAAGGAGTGGTCACGGCCGCTATCACATCAGCATTTCCATTTTCTGCTCCTGGTTGGAGTCACTGCATAGATCTGGTCACATGTCTTCTTTCGTGTGGACACCTCACCCAAACACCAGGCCCTATGGGCTACAAAGTAGAAGTCACTATTTACAATTTTGCCAGATCAGAAATCTTTTAAGATCTGGTCACATGTCTTCTTTCCTGTGGACATCTCACCCAAACACAAGGCCCTATGGGCTGCAAAGTAGAAGTCACTGTTTACAATTTTGCCAGATCAGAAATATTTTAACTCAGACTTTATCATAATGCAGGAGTAATGAGGCCACTCCTCATAGAACATCTCCTCCCTTTACTACCCCAGTCTCTTCCCAGCCCCCAAACTTCACTGCATAAAAGCGACACAAATTTCAGGAGGGGAAATATTCTATTTTCATATTATTCTATTGCTAGGAGTACATATATGCTAATCAACACAGTAAATGACATTAGTAACACATAATCTTCCCAGTGTAGTTAAGATGGATAACAAATCAATTAGAAACTTATTAAGTTTCTCATAATTTTTTTGTAAAAAGGTGAGAAGAAAAGAGAGAATCCAAGAATGAAGTTTAAGAAGTTATTTTTGCTGGGCAGTGGTGTACACCTTTAATCCTAGCACTCTGGAGGCAGAGGCAGGCAGATGTCTGTGAGCCTGAGACCAGCCTAGTCTAGTGAGTCAGAGTGAGTTCCAGGACAGCCAGAGAAATCCTGTCTTGAAAAAACAAAACAAAACAAAACAAAAAACAAAGTTATTTCCTAGTTCTTCACAGTGCCCCCCAGAGGTAGGTGTGTGTGTGTGTGTGTGTGCACATGGGAGTGTGCACACCTATGTGCATGTGTGTGTGCATGTGCCTGTGTATGTATGTGTGTGCATGTGTGAATTATCCTCAAGTGTTAAGTGTCTATAAATGACATACAATTTTCTCACAAGATATTCTCTCCCACAAGTACCTGCTGCACAGAGTGGTTGGACTAAAGGCAGCAGATCTATGCTACAGAACATAGGATGAAAATATTCCTTTCCTTAGATAAGACAGAGATCCCCAAGGAACTGTAACAGGGGTCAAGACCAGGTTTCCTCAGCTGCCTCCCTTTGATAGCTCTTTGCCATACTTTGATAAATGAACAAGGAAACTCATACCTGTCCAATAGTCGGAGGCCACTTTTTTTGTCAGCCACTGTAACTCTTTGTCTCACTGTCTCCATTCACTTACAGGATTTAACCTCTCTTATATCCTAAACCATCCCAATCCTTTACTCTTTGTTGTCAGGGTCTCCATCTATTGCTCCTGCTCTGTGAGCTTCCCATACTATCTTAATTTCATACACCCATTCTTTGTCCTTATTCACTCAACTTTCCCATTGTGCTGGTCCCTTAATGGCATTACCCTACGTATCTTAATTTCTTAATATCTTTCCACCTCTTACCCTTTTCTAACCCTTGTCCCCTCACTCCTATGTTCTTTTAAGGTGTTCTGTCTTTCCACTTTCTTGATTACATAGGATTTAGTTTCCAAATTCTCACACAGAAAGAAAATACAATAATCCTATAACAGCCCTTGCTCATATTCTCAGACTTTGTCCCAGACTTTTCTGAGGTACGTCTATGGCTTTTACAGAGTTTCCTCTTTGTTGCAAGTCTCTTCCATCCAGCTGCAAACTTTCTTCATCCTGGGAGAGGAAGAATGCATGCCTTAACCTCTTAGAGGGACAGTACTCACAAACTGCCCAACCTTTTTTCCCCTGTGGTCCCCTGGTTCAATGGACATCTCTTTGGAAAATGGTGCTTATTTTATATCACTCTTATCCTGACATTTAGTGACTACTATAAATAATGACTATATTTTAACATGCATATAATCTTATAAACATTTGTGTATTTATTGGTCCCAGTGCCTTAAAAATCAAGGCGAGGAATAGAAGACAGACATCAATAATGGCTTCAAGACTATTACATCTGTCTAATAATTGGTCAATAAAAGGTACTAAAAGTTAGTAGAACATTGGTACTATTGTACTGACCTTGGAGGAAGGTATAGAGTTAAACCAAATGCCCAAAAGACACAGGGCACTTCAAAAAGAATCCATGCTACAACTTGGATATTGTTGAAGTCAGGGTTCATGAGCTAGAAACTCAACTCCCAGTTGGACAGTGATTGGGGTAGTGGAAACTTTATGAAGGGGAGCCTATTGAAACTGATTAGATCCCTCGGAATGTCCCTCCAAAGAGATTGATGTAGTTTTATAGAGACTCAAGAGACCAGCAAGACCACTCTGTGTACATACAGCTGTTCCCTTCCCATTCTCTGCCATGTATTGTAGCCAAGAAAACCCTCATCAAAGCCCAATAGATGTGTCTATCTGAAATTGAACTTTCAGCCTTCAAACTATGAGCTAAATGGAGGCCTACAATTGACAAGTACTCTTCTTCAGGTATTGTGTTTTACAGAAAACAGAAAAATGCAATACGGAGTAAGATAATTTCCATGTTTATTCCAAACCAAATAAAACACAATAGCAGTCTCTTAGGAGCAATTATCAAATTTATAAAATTGAACATGTCTCCATGGATCCTGACATATTAGTTTAGATACACTAAATATTGCGTACATGACTGACATGTGAATATTCTTTCATATGAGATGAAAATATAGCAGAGAAAGCTAAGCTGTGTTTTTCTTTTCCACTCCACATCACTCTGCTTAATTGTGCATGGTCCTTATTTGATGAAGCCCTTGTTCTCTTGAGGAAAGTGTAAGCATCTGCATCATGTAGGAGGCAAGAAGAAGAAGAAGAAGAAGAAGAAGAAGAAGAAGAAGAAGAAGAAGAAGAAGAAGAAGAAGAAGAAGAACTGGATTTCACTACTACCTGCTCAACTCATTTTACACTTGTCACACAATCCCGGGAAGTACATACTGATGTTTTTTTTTTAATTTTAGGAATGAGGAACTTGAGCTACAGAACGTTCAAACATTGTACTCTAGACCATAGCTACAGAAGATGAGAGAACTGAAAATCTCAGAAGAATCTGATTTTAGTAATCTAGTCTTCGTAGGAACAACTCCAATATTAGACATATGACAGTTATTCACAGAATACAGTCTGGCTAATTCACCATGGTAGCACCTGACTGGAATTCTAGCACAGAAGGCTAAGATGGGGGCGTCATGAGGTTGAGGTCCACTTGGGATACAAAGCACAGCATGGCATTGTCCCATCATCATTGTCTTCCACATCATCCTGATCTTGACCAGCATGATTGCCATACCAGTACTCACTTTTTCAAGATTCACCAGTCTTGTGATTTGTATACTTTTATATATCTAACATATAGTTCTACAAATTTTCTTTCTGTTATGAAAATAGAGAAAATATGTTTGTGTTTTGAACTTGGTAATTTTCCTATATAAGTTGCAAGTACTTAATATAAACTTTAAAACTTAAACTTATGCTGGGCGGTGGTGGTGCATGCCTTTAATCCCAACACTCAGAAGGCAGAGGCAGATGGATCTCTGTGAGTCTGAGGTCGGGGCTGGTCCGACAGCCTCCAAAACAATACAGAGAAACCCTGTCTCTTAAAACCAAAAAAAAAAAAACAAACAACTTAAAATTATAAGTCTTTTAGCAATTTATCTCAACTGATCAGAGACGTAAAGTTGTTACAGGGATATTTGAGACAATACTATTTTTTATTATTATGTAGGAAGTAGCATAGCTGCCCTAGATGAGGAAACTGTGCCTCCTTAACATGTGTTCTTTAAAACTAAAGTTTACAGAATAAAATTATATATATAGATATATAATTAGTAGAATATTATACTTCCAAAGATTATAAACATGAAAAAATAGTCTTTTTATGTTAAGAAAAATATAATCCTATGACAAATACTTAATTAAAATATTCTTATATATGAATAAAATACATACACACACATAAATACATGTAATTGAGCATAGGGTGTATAATATACAGAAGAATTCTTAGGATAGTGGAAAGGAAAATGCCTGTGTTTTGAAATTATGAGCAGTTTTAACTTTTACTCTTACATTATTCTTCATTTTCTAACTTGGACTCATTTTTGCACTAAATTCACCTTCTTGTTAGACATTGACACAATACTCTTCAGCAAACTTACTTTATAGCCCTCACACTATTTGGTTACTATAATCAGAAAATGATATGAAAAGGGCATAAAACAGTAATGATATTCCAAGTGATGATAAACAGGGTTTTTTGTTGTTGTTGTTGTTTTTTGAGACAGGTTTTCTCTGTGTAACAGCCCTGGCTGTCATGGAACTCACTCAGTAGACCAGGCTGGCCCCGAACTCACAGAGATCTGCCTGCTTCTGCCTCTGAGTTCTGGGATTAAAGATGTGTGCAACCACCTCCTGATAGTAATAAATTTTAATGTGATAGAATTTATTTCATTTCCATAAATGTTTGTGCTCTTCCTAAGTTTTCTTCTATAATCAGTGGAAAAGAGCTTCAAAATACCAGGAAAGAGTCACCTTCCAGATGACAGTATAGGAACCACCAAATGCTTATCTCTCTGCAGAAGAATGAATGGAGTAGAGAAAATGCTAATATTGACTTTCCCAGATCTGTGGAGGTTAGCCAAAGTCTTTAGGGCTTTGCTTTATTTCCAAAAGTCAGGTCATCCAGTTTTTTTTTTGGCATTTGAATTTATCCTGCTGTCACTCTGTCTTCTAATGGCCATAATAATCTCAAAATCCTACAATTTGAAACCAGGGATGCTATGAGATCAGCAAACTAGCATCCAAGGAAGGGACCAGAACAATTTTGGAGTGTCAAAAAAAAAGCCTTCATCTCTGAAGAATCACCACATTGGACTTGTCTGACAGATTCCTTAGGGAAACTCTGTGATTTGACTTGACTCAGAGATAAAACAGGAACCCTGAAAACTCTACTAAGTAAAGGAAGCCATTCACAGAGGAACAGGCATTGTTGTTTCTACTTATACAAAATGTCCAGAATAGGCAAACCCACGGGGACGGAGAGCAGATGTGTGGTCTTGGGATTTGGTGAGAGCAGTGAATGACTAGTAATGGGTCAAGTGTTCTATGAA